TCCCGCCGCCATGCTTACGCTCCGAAGTATCCGCCGGCGGTCAAGGCCATGCCAGCTTGCCGACCATCAGGTCTGTCGTATGAACGTTGACGGAACACCAGCGGCAAAAGTACCTCAGTATTTTGGTACATGCATGTCTGCAAGCATCATGTCTTCGCAGTGCCGCAGCCTTACTTGCTTGAGTTGACCTTGCTGTTTGTTCGGTTGCCATGCAGTTGTCGGCCGAGTTTGTGAATAACCTGGTGGTGGTACTCAATGTCCTTGCATCCCAAGTTGCGACAGCTCTGGACACCCTGAACTTTGCCCTGATGACCGAGCGTAGCCATCCGTCAGACACTATAGTGACTCCCAGGGCACCACGGAACTCCAGGCATGGGCTGCGCCCTCGCATCATCACAGAGCGCATTTCGTCTGACCGATCCCGCTCTCCCACTCGAATTCGAACCCGACCTTTGGACACGTCATCCACCTGGTATATACCGGCCTTATCCCCGCCTCGTGCGGCACATCGGGATGCTGCTGACAACAATTCTGGTCGTCGGCCTGAATCGATGTTGGATCACCTGCCACCACCTCGGCCGCTTGCTCCCTTAACCCCACACGGCGGCCGAGAGCCAGGACAGATGACGCCTACGACACCTGACTCCGATTCTGATGGCTCAGTGCGTCCACATCCAAGTGCCTCGTCGTTCCGACCGTCTCCTACGGTGGTTCATGGACCTCGGGAACTTCTACAAGAATTCACCATTGCACTTCGCAATGCACACCGTGAACCTTTCACGGCATGGACACAGGGTGAGCTGGATGAGATGGTGCGACGGAAGAAAGACAAGGATTCCAGGCCCACGTACAAAACCATCGCTCGGTTCCTTCTGAAGCCCATTGAGGAAGTCAAGCAGGCATGGAAGGTCTATCAGCAACTTGAGGCCCGCGGGTAGGAACCCGGTCATCAAATGCAGCAGCGACCACAGGAGGACTAAATGGTAGGCCGAGGCGGTGTATTTGGCTAGTGCTGCAGGTTGTTGCGGCGTTGGGAATGCAGTCATTTGCTTGCTTTCACTTGAGTGCCATTGTACCAGGGTAATCTTGCATGCCGTTGTGGGTGTTGCCGCTTACGTGACTTGCATTCATGACTGAGTTGCTCAAAACATGTCGGAACAAGTCGTACAGACGTACATTACTTGGACCCATGGAGCGCAGCCGACGTGGTTACAGTTTCACGGACCTGGAGCCCTGCTGGACAGACCCATTCGGCAGACTACGTCGCCTCCGCCCCCGCCAAGTTTCCCATTGCTTCTGCCACCTCCGCCTCCTCCACCACCACCACCACCGGTGATTCTACACCCGCAGTTTATACCCTCAGTACGGAGCCCCTCGATCTCAGCTCCTCGTGGACAATCATGCCCTGCTACATCGAAATCGCAGCGCACACGCCGCTCGGTCCACAGCACTGACCATTCCCGCGATGAAGAGCTACACAGTCCAGGGCGTTCATCCAAACGATCTCGGACAGCATCCGCTTCAGCACCGAGGCGATCTCGGCGGCCGTTTACCGTGTTTCCCTCCAAACGAGCTGGCCGTCAATCGCTGTCCCCATCGGCAAATTGCAAGCATTACTGTCATGCCTTCCTGCACAATGGGCGGAAATGTCTTTCCCCTTGTGTTCGCAGACGACCAGGACATTATCATTGCAGGTGTGCACGGCATCAATGGCGATGAAGCTTAGGGGCCGTATATTACAAACATCGCTGCTGTGTCTCACCTTGAGTTTGAAAAGTTGCCTTGCATTACGTCAGCTGAGCGCGGTTGTCATGGCATGTGTGTTTTAACCGCAGATTTTCGCTTGCTTGAAGCGGCCGCGCGATAGCTTGTCTTGCCGCTATGAACCCTCACTATTTCGAGTACCAGATTGACAGAGGAGTGGAATGGATTAGAATCTACTCACCGGGCACGTGGCGACCCGTTCCTGATGATGCTCCAGTGCTCGCACCGACCTACGCTTCCACGTATCGGGAGTGGCGCAGGTCATATCGCTTCCAAGTGTACTGGTCCGAAGACAGCACCGGAGAAACAACAACGGATCCCATTGTCACGCCTAGTTCGTATGTGTCCTACCACGTGTGGGAGTACCGAGACTGGCAAACACGAGGATATCAACGACTTGGAGCTCCTGTACCAGCCATTGGTCTCGCGATGCTTGTGAATGCAGACGACAATTCCTCGGCGGACTCATCGGTTCCGGATGGGGCATGGCGTGAACCGTCACCACCACCATTCTATGATCCTTGGAACGAGTCGGGGTGATACTGGAGCAACATGTCGGATAAATTGACGAGGTTGTGCTTGCTTTGCATGCGATTCCATGTTGGGTTGTCTTGCTTGGTGTTGTGTGTCCCGCCTTCAGCTGTTTGCCGCTCTCATTTGACCCTGAGCGGTTTGCCTGGTTGATATGTTCAATTGTACAATGTATGGCGCAGCACGTTGGGTCCTACCTCGCTACTTTGACTACGACATCGTCAATGGCCCCGCGAATACGAGAGTGGAATGGATTCGGATCTATGTTCCCGGTCCGTGGCATCCAGTCGCCGAGAACACCTTGGGACCAGCCCCGGATGACACAACCACCTATCGGGAATGGCGTAAGGTTTTCCACTTCGAGGTGTATTGGCCGAGGGATAGCACAGGCGGCACCAATACAGGTGCTGTTTCGCAGCCGGTGTCTTATGCATCCTTCTATACTTGGTATTATAGAGACTGGGTCACCAGGGGATACCAACGGCTGGGTCGCCCACATTTCGGGCGCACCGGACCTCATGTACGCTGGTTTGACATCTTCATCGGCATCCTCCAACTCGGATGGTGGCTGATGCTCGGTTTCGCAATCCTGGGGAGTCTGTTCAGTTCAATTAAATGCGGGAGATTGACTTCGATTTCGGAGCCGTGCATTGCTGCAAAAGTGATTTCTTGCATTGCGGCAGTTGTGTTGCTTTCAGCAATTGTTGTCTGAAGCCGTATGCATATCAAGTTGTCTTTCCGGGTTTGCGGTGTCATGGCATGGCTAGAATGGTGTCCGGATCCTCAACAACCAGATGCCCAGTGGGTCAAGATCTTTCATCCGGGATCATGGACTCCACATCAAGAACATGATGCTCCACCTCCTCCGCACACATATCGAGAGTGGAAGGAGTTCTATGTCCAAACCCGACCAAGACGGTGAGCAGCCCAATGTCACCAAGTGGTACAAAAGAGACTGGGCCACAGAGGGCTATCGGAGAGTCGCTGCCCCTCAAGCTGGTCATGACTTTGATTCTATGTCTTTTCCTGATCAACACAGCGTGGCCACGCAATCCACAGCATTGAGTATGTCACCGCAATGTTGGAGCGATCCTTAGATCCTCGGATGCGGCGGCTTTCTCTACCGAAGATCTGACTCGTCTCCAGAAGGGATCTCTCAGCAACTGACGATCGCGCACGTCACGCTTCCCAACTACATCAACCTGTACGTGCATCTCGTGGAGTTGCACCACCAGAGACTATTGGGGTCTCTGAGCCATACCGGCCTGTTAATCCTCCGACAGCGCAAAGCCAAGGTGAAACCTATCTTCGAGCTAAATGAGGACTAGACTCACGCGAGTGGGGTAGTACAAAATAAGGGTGGTTTTACGCTTGCTGACCTTGCTTGGTTGTTGCTTGTACATGGTTGTGCATGTGCCTGTTCCTTTACTAGCTGGATCGGAACCCGCGATACGCCTTGCCTCTACTTCGACATGGACATCGAGGATTCGAAGCAGCACCCATGGCTCGAATACTCGGTCTGGCAGGATCAGGAGTGGGTGCGGATCTACACTCCAGGACAGCCTCAGCTATGGCAACCCGGAGAACCGTACCTGATCTACCAGACAACTCTTTTCGGGAGTGGCAGCGGGTAACTGATCCCAGTGGTGGGACTGGTGAACACGGTCAGGCATGGACCATTCGCGACTGGCAGCATCAAGGATACCAACGCATTCTGTCTCGAAGGGAGTCCTTCACTACACATCATGCCCATGATCCATCACTTGGGAATGTCGGAATTCCGATGCAATTCCAGTTGAGGAGACGTTCACCTATGCTACTCCGTTTTCTGATGGTGATCGCTCGACTGCTGCAAATTCGCTTCAGTCCTCTATGGCGACACTCGTAATGCTCAACGTGGTGATCTCTCGTTCCCGTCTTCTGAGCGGTTTAGGGCTGTTTCCGTTCCCCTCGCCGCGGTGGATATTTTGGTCAACGATAGGGACACGGAGTTGAGCATGTGATCTTCCTGCGGAAAAAGAGAACCTCGCCCCTCATTGAGGGGCGTGTGTGTGCGGAGTGACAGAATGCCCTGTCACCACCATTTCGTTTATCAGCAGGGGGACCAGGCGTCTTGCTGCTGACCTGGTCTAACAAAGCTAGGGCAAGACGATACCGGTGTTGGCCACCCGCGACCTGCATTCGTGATGTGATTCTGAAAGTGGCCCCTTGGTTGCGGCGCTGTTTGTGCTTCTTGTTCTTTCGGGTAACGTGTTCGCCGCTAGAGGGAAGCCGAGTGCATCGCGAGCAGAACCCAGTCGAGACTCATCAGTTGTACTCGAGACTCATCAGTTGTACTCGAAAGATTGGCACTCTCCATCTGGAGTTTAAGTGTGTGTGTGTGTGTGTGTGTGTGTGTGTGTGTGTCAACCTCGTTTTTTTGTTTTTTGATATTTGGGCTCTACGGCATGGGTTCCTTCAAGGGGGGGGGGGTGGTGTCAAAAACCGGGATCCTTTTCGGGATATTCTCAGGCCAATAGGGCCCGAGCCTCTTTGGAGGGGTTTTGCAAGCCACCTTTGGCGGCTGAACACCGCAGCTCTGATTTGCCGGATCCCGGAGGAAAGCCCCGATTTTCGCTCGACCTTTGAAACTTGCGCAGGGGTTCGTTGATTTGACAGCCGAAACGACAGCATCCTCCCAGTTGAAGTGGCCAGCGCAAGCTGAGGATGTGATGGTGGGTCAGCAGCTGGACAAGGAGAAGAAAGAGGTTCTTGAGAAGATCAGGCAGAAGAAGGAGGCCGGCGCACGTGGGCAAACGGCGCACCCGGTGTTTTTCGACCCACTCTTTTTGGGCCAAACGCCAAAAGGCAAAATGGAGGTCAAACCCAGTTTTTGGGGTTGGGAAAAACGGGTCCCTGAAAAAGGGGGCTGTTTTGAAAATGCGGGTGCTAGCACCTGTTGAATCGCCCCAAACATCCCAAACATCCCAATCTGGGGCGCCCTGCGGCGTCTTGCTTTTTTCAGAAACGCCCTTTGCGGTTGGTTTCAAGGGACGCCATGGCCAAGACTGGTTTGCTCTTTGGTTCTTTGTCCTTTTCAGCGTTTTTGGAGAGTACTATTTCAAAACCAGCAAATGAACTTGTTGCAGGTCAAAGACTAGCCCAGAAGAGCACTTGCGTGTTTGTGCCCAAATCAAAGACAACAGGTTTGCGTTCATGTGAGATAAGTTAAATAGTACAACAGGTCACTCGGAGTGTCCCTGGTTCGCAAATCCAACATTTGCACCCACAGCACATGCCGTGTTGCGTCGGAGGGAAGTAGGTGCAGATCATTTGAGCGCTGGGCTCGGTCAAGAAGCTCGGCGGCTTTTTCTTTTCTGTTCCCACGGAGGTGGGATTCGGCGATCCGCAGGAAGAAGCCACAGCAAAGGCAGAGGGCAAGGACGGGTGGCCACGGGCCGTGTTGCCAGGTGAGTGCCTCACGGAAAGGGAATGCCTTTGTGAGGCATGGTCTCTCCCTCTCGCTCTTCAGAGCTTCCGCGCATATGGGTCTGTCCTTCTCTTTGGGGGCCCAACATGGATTTTTTGGTTTGCCTTTTGGGACCCCCAGATCGGCCTGTCCTTTTTCTTTTATCAGGGGACCCCCCCAAGTTGGATTTTCCGGGTTTGCTGTTGGTTTCCGCTTTGAAACCACCAAGCGAGGGGGCGCCCTAAATGGCTGTGGGTCAAAACCAATGGTACCATTTTGGGGTAGGTGCACCACCCAGTTTAGTCTATTTTAGTGGGGATTGGGATTTTGACCCATGGCCAAATGACACGCCGAACTTGGCCGTGAGGAAGTCCCGGAGGCGGCGAAGAAGCAGAGAAGCGCCCGGCGCCCGGCCGCTCCGATGCTGGCGGCCAGGGGGCCACATATCCTGTGGTTGAGGGAGCCTAGAAGCCTAAGGCCCATTTCACTTCCATTTTCTTCAGAGTATGTTTCTATTCCCCTGTTGGTTTGAAAGGGAATCAGTTTGTCACTACTGGACATTGACATATTTCTATTTTTCCCAGGGGACGAAACAGCAAACTTGGTGGTTCCCAGCTATCCCCAGAAAGGTGTTTAGGTTTCTAGGCTTGAAAATCCAAGACTTCCCTTTGGGAAGTTCACCAGTCGAAGTTCAGCCGGGCGAGGAGGTCCGCTCATAGCCGGGGATGGGCCAGGAAGCGAGCTCCAGCTCCAAGCCGGAGGAGCCGGAGGGCGACAGATGGGCGCGGAGCTCGGCGCGGCTTTGTGTCTGCCTCCTTCTTCTTCTTCTTCTTCTTCTTTTTGTAAACAAGAAACAAACACAAAAGACAAAGCAAGCAAACCGAGGGTGGAAACCGTTTTTAGGAAAGGACCGGTATATCTCCTGTTATCAAACATGTCCACTTCAATAGGGATGTAAAAGGCACGCCAATTATGGGGCATCCTCTTGACCCTCGGTTTAGCGTTTCATTGTGGAGCGCCCCCGCCCCCGCCCCCCAAAAACGGCACGCTGCACGCGAGTCGGGGAAGCTCAGGCCACACCCATTGGAGGTGGTGAGATTGGCGAGTCGTCCCTGCCTGAGCTTAAGAGAGGCGTCTGGGGCTTGCTTGTTCAGGTTGCGAAAGTCGACGGAAGCCTCGCGAAAAATTGGTTTGGCTTCCTCCAGTTTTGCGTTGGGCATGCACTACCCAGAGGGTCTTTGCTACCGGCTTTGGCCCTGAAAACAGCCTCATGGCTGCATGGACCTGCCTCTGATGCTATTTTATTCATTTGGTTGCCCCACCCCCAAAATCATCCAAGGAATCCAGCTGCATTCCGAGGTCGGCACGAGCTGACGCATGCTACATGCGAATGTCTAGTACTATTTCCTTGCTCCGGTATGAGTGGTCTTGGACCCTCGCGGCTCTGATAGATGAGGTCTGCAGCTGAGAAGAAGCCCGAGAAGGAGCCAGAGGCAAGGCAGAATATTAATTCACCGCAACCATGACGACGCATCGTGAGGGATCTGGTTGTGTGTTTTTAGGTTGCTTAGCCATGTTAAGCTTGCCATATTCAGCTCATGTACCATCAGGTTTTCCTCCATTTCCCTCCCTTGGAACCTCCAGGTGGCAGTTGTTCCATCCGTCAACTGGTCGACTTCGGGGAAAACTGCCAAGGTGACCCCCTGACCATGCCAACCCCCCAAAAAAAAGCTCTGGGGCTCGCCAGGGCGACGAGTTTGGCGAGACCCCGGAGCCTGGAGAGTGGGGCGGCGGCCCATGACGGTGGGGGGGTTGGGTGGTAGGGGGGGTGGGGAACGCGGGATGGCCGGTGGGTCTTGAGCCTTTTGGTTTGTTTGTTTTTTTGCAAAGCTACGGGAAATTCACCATTTTGAGGTCGCCTGATTGGGAGTCGCCCCAATCCGGGGTCCAAGGGAGGTAGAAGCACCATCAGCCGACCTTTAGTCGATGGCTTGGTCAACACCACGTGGGACTGCGCCACAATCACCCAGGTGTGAGCTACACCGCGATGTTGAGAACCCCCTCACAACCCCCCCCCCCCAACTCTACATTATAATACTTTCGTGGCACTCTACCAACTCCACATTTCGCTCCCAACTTCCAAGGTGACACCCCGATGCCCACGGGCAAGAAGAAGCGCGCGCGATGGGCCGGGCCCTCAGATCCCACTTCAGGGGCACCACTCAGCTGTGACATGGTTGCTCACCCTGAAGCCATGGGACACCCAGACTAGGTCCCCCAGTAGTGCCCTTTCACCCTTTTTTGGGCTAAGAAAAAGGGGTACCCTTATTCTAACCTCTCTGCAGGACCTAGCAGAGGTATCGCATACCCCACTCTGCCCTTTGCCTCACCCATGGTTGGTATGGGAGCGGCCTGATGCTGAAGCGTCGAATGAGCCTTGCCGAGCCACGTCGGTGTCTCTGAGGACTCCGCGCCGGAGAAGGAGATGGACGTTGGGGCCACGCCCACTGCAGATGTGACCCCGAGCGTGGATGTCACGCCCAGCCCGGGGATCCAAGGGCCACCCCTTGGGGTGGAGACGGCCGGGGGGGGGCGGGGGGTCATCTCCGGACCGTGCAACTCGACCACGCTGGATGGGCCTACAAGTTCGGGGCTGAGTCTGCCAAGTGCGGTTCGTCTGCCTGGCTTTGGCGGGGAAAAATGGGATCCTGCCAGGGGGTTCACTGGGGAAGGCTGGAGCGTCAGGTGTGTTTTGAAGAACACCTCGCAGTTACGACCACACAAATCCCAATGGGTTCGAGCCATGCATTCTAGTGTCAACATGATTCGAGTTTATGATTTGGACCTGTGCAGAGAACTGAGGCTGGAATCGATTTGATACAGACCGCTGAAATCGGGTATTCCAAAAAGGCAAGGGGTGGCTGCAGGGACCGCTCATGAGTGGTTGCAGCAGCATGTCGGAGCAAGATCTGCAGACATATGCCAATCCCGATTCAGCAAGCATGATTGTCTTGTTAATTTCTCTTTTTCTTTCCCGTTCTCCGTATCTTTCCTGCTCTCTGTGTCCTTCCCTTTTTACATGTCTTCTTTTCTTCTTCTTATCATTCTCTTTCCCTTTCTCTGTTTCTCTCCGTAGTTCATTCTGTTTCTGTTTCTCTTTCTTTTCTCCTCCTCTTGGCTTTGTGTGGATTTGGGCTGACTTACGCATTGAGGAAGATGCGCAATCTGGCTTTCTAAGGCGAGCTGCTGTGGCAAATGTCCAGTCTGGCTTGAATACGTACTTCATATGGGACCTGTCATGTTCTTTCTCCTTCTCTTTCTGTTTGTTCTCTTTCCCGTGATCTTTCTCGTTGTCTTTGCCTCTCACTTTGTCTTTTTCTTTATCTTGTTCTGTCTCCTTTTCTTCCTCTTTTTATCCCTCTTTTTATCCCTCTTTGTCTTTCTCTTTCTCTTTCTCTTTGTTCTCTATCCCATTCTCTTTCTCTCTGCCTTCACTTTTTTATTCTTCTTTCTTTTTCTCGTTGTTTTTTCTCTTTATATCGTTTTTCACTTTCTGCTTCTCTTGCTTTTCCTAGTTGTTTTTCTCTTTCTCTTTCTCTGTCTCTTGCTTTTTCCCTCGTATTTTCTTCTTCGGCTTCTTCTTCCTATTTCCTTTTCTGTCTCGCTCTCTCTCGCTCTGCTTTTGTCAATTTGATCGGGAAGGCAAGCTTGACTAGCGGCTAGCTGAGTCCTTCGCTGTAATTCCTGAATGAAATCAATCACCCCCTCAAGGCAGGGAAGTCATGGTCTCCAATGCAGCAGTATGCAGTAGGCTAGACGTTTGTTGCATCGGACCAGCTTTTCGGCTACCTCTGCTTGGCTTCCTTTTGCCTCCCCCCGCGAAAATGATTCGCCCAAGGCGTAGATGTGACTCCCAGCATGGAGCCAATGATCGGCCTCAGCCTGAGATGAGGGGATGCGCATTTGAGATGAGGGGATGCGCATTGACGTGGGTGGACCCCGTTTTGGTTGATGTCTTGAAGGGGAAGCCGCATACAACGACACCAAGCAGTTGCGGGCACCCTGTCCCCATTTCGAGAAGCAACCATGTAGAAGGCAGGCAGGAGAATTGTGAGGTCATTCGCCACCCGGGGTGAATGTGGAAGCTTCCCGCTTTGCAATGGCCATTTGGGGACCCCTTTGGCCACCTGAACTCTGGCAGGCTCGAGCTAGTGGGGGAAAAAGGGCTGAGATCAAGACACCTTCGCCAAAACAGATGGGAAATGATGGGTTTCCTTTTGGGTTTCCGTTTGGCTTCCCTCGTACCAACCCTAAAAAGAGCGGTGTAGCTTCAAGAAACACACGGATTGAATACTCAAGCATGAGTTTTTGGACTGCTGGCCACGTGAGTGAGGTGCCACGCCATTCGCTGGCGGCATTAACCTGGGGGACACACCGCCAGGGGTCCGAGAGGACGAGTGGCACGATCTGGAGCTTCCCATTTGACTTTGGCATTTTGGAGTGATGAGATTGGCAGGAGTTTGTTTCATCTTGCTATGAAGGCTTTGATGTTTGGGGGATCAGGCAGTTGCCTTGGGGTGGGGTCACACAATCCCATTGGCTTGGAGCAACTTTGCCACCAGACGGACACTACATGGAGTTTCTCACAAGGGTGGGCCCCTCTTTTGTTTGGTATTGTAGGGACACTGAAAGGAACACCACCATTTGTTGGTTCCCTTCTTTCGAGACATAGCGCCATGTTTTCCTGTCGCTAGGTTGGGCACGCCCGGCATGGCGAACATGAGCACGCCCGTGGGCCTCACGCCCAACTTCGCGTCCATGACGCCGGAACAGATTCAGGCGGGAACCAGCGAAGGCAGGAGGCGCTTTGGACCAAAGGAAGTCCAAGCCTCGAGCCTCTTGCGGGTCTAGGTTTTCCATTCCGAGGGTACCTGTTTCTTTTTGTTTGTTTTTAAAAGGGAAGCCAAAAGAAAAAGCACCATTTTGGAGGGGTCCCCTGATAAAAGGCCGCCCCACGTGGGTCCCGCGTTCAACGGGAACAAGAGGAATTTGCCCTCACGCTTTGCAGGCGTACCGATACGACGCGGAGGTTAACGAGCGAAATGCTCCAATGACGGATGAGGACAGACTTGGCATTTGGCAGGCGAGTGGTTTGGTGCCCTGTGCCTTCATGAGAGTTGCCAGGTGGTTTTTTCAGCGCTCTGCAAAGTGTTCCAAAGATGTACATCAGATCGCAGCTGGATCATGGTTTCACTGAAGAGCCACATTCTTTGCGCATCAATGGGGCGAGATCTCAGAGCCTCTGAGAGAATAATTCAAATTGTCATGTTACAATTGCTTGAAGCGGTGCGGGTCGGGGTGGGATTTGGTCATTAGCAAAGCCCAGGCTGCCAAGCTCTCCGGAGTTGGCAAAAGTGAGAGGCATTGGTTCAAATGAGTCCAAACATTCATTTGCGGGGACTCGAACAAACAGGGATTACCTGGGTGCTGGTGCACATTCCGCGATACCTATCAAGGGAAACGCAGAGTCCAACAGGCTCAAGTTTTGGTCCAACGTACAGCGCGAAGGATTGTGCTACAGCGTTGATCTTGCCCTCCACCAAGCGTCAATCGCAAAGGGAAGTCAAACAGATTGCAGGATGACGAGAACCGAGCTGTCTCTAAGCACACGTGCTGCCGACACTCACAGCTGTTGAGATGCTCTTGGTCTTACCATCCGCCTGCTCTGCCGGAAACTTTTTTTCTATCAGCCGAATCCGGTTCCATGGGCATTCGGTTGAGTGGCCGTCCTTTGCGCCGATGGACAGGGTCTTGCACCAGTTGGGATGAAACCCTATGAATACTGGTTGATAAACCACCTAACAACTGGTGAAGGGTTTTGTCCAACAGTATCATTGGTTCTGTCGTAGTAGATCACGCCTTTCTGAGGCCAAGGAGCGTAGGACTTCCTGGCAAGTGCGGCGTTCGCGAGGGGACATGAGAATGAAGCAAGGGAACAAGCAGGTGACCTGCGTGAATTGTTCCTTGGACATTGAAACTGTTGGTTTGAGCACGCAAGAAATTCAATTAGTGAAAGTAAGCGCGAACGCGCCCCAACCAATCAGGTCCCTTGGTTCCGCCTCTCGGCTTAGTGCCGCATGATCTCTCAGCCTTTTGACGTCTCGCGTCAACAACATAATACTTGTGAACCTCACAGAGAGACCTGAAAGAGGCTCTCGAAAAGGATAATCTCTTCAGAGCTTGGGCTGTTTCTATGGAGAAGGTGTTGAACTTGGGGGCTTCCACTGATTTAGATGGGCTTGATGCATTTGTTTTTTTTAAACCAGGGAAACCCGAATCTATTTTACCAACAAGACACCTATGAGCAAGGCCCAGCGACTCCTTCAGCTAAAGTCAGGAGCTGGACGCCATCTTCCCACAGACCGGCTATGAGATTGTCAGGCAGGGGGATGTGACGGCATGGCCTTAGAGACAGGGGCGATAACGGGCGGTGTGACGGTCTTGCTTTGAAAGTTCCATGTGGTTGCTAGCTTTAGGGCAAAAAAGTAGTTTGGGGATTTTGCTGCGTTTGAGACAAGCTCATGCTGTGTTTACAAAATGACGAAAGGTTTTGGCAGACAACAAGCAAAGCAGGATCCCAAAGGGTGTCCCAATTTGGACCCCATCGTTTCTTGTCCTTGACCTCCAGCTTCTTTGCGGTGTCGATTTGGTTCGATTTGGATCGTCTATCGAAGCAAGACCTCTGGATGCTCAAAGGAGAAAGGCCCAGCCCTTCTCTTGACGTAACCGCAGGCCGCCTGCGAATTACAACCCCATCCGCAAGTCCGCCGGGGTGGCCCAGATACCTACGCACGTAGGGACGCTGGCGCCAGTGTTCTAGACCAGATCCCTTTGACTGCACTTTGGATTGGTCAGCTGGATTATGAAGTGGCGGTCAAAAGCATTTGGGGGACCTACGGGAGTTGCCAACCAAGCTTTCCTTCGTTTGGGCTGGTCTCGAATGTCGCTCGTTGGGTTGGGGTAGGTGGGGCTGGCTTTGCTTTCTACGGCACATGCTCTTTGCTGCGGCCCAAGTTTGTTGGTGGCTTTCTGAGGGCATGCGGCATGCTCCCTTTTTCAATGTTCTGCCGGCGCAGCTGCGCAGCTCGGAGCAATCCTGATCAAGACACTCAACGGCATGACGGACGATTTGCTTGACTGCTCGTAATGAATACAGAGCCCATGAGCTGTCACCACAGCATTCTGTTGGCAGCCAGGCTCCACAGGAGACTCCGGGATTGACAAATTCTTCAGGTCCATGGTTTCGGGCTGGTGGAGTTGGTGCGTTGTTGTTGCAGCAGACGTAGGCCACGTTGTGCCCAGGGAGAGTCGCCAGCATGTGATCGTCTCTATGGTTGCCCTAGCCGCGGGCAAACTTGCTTGGAGGGTTCAACAGGCACGCGCACCCCTCCAGTCCCCCCCCCCATTCAAGACAGGTTTTGAAGGCTTTTGGGATGGTCTGACCTCCAAGCTGGCGTTTTGGCGACATGAATTGGGAAGAGGCAGGAGTAGCTCCAAGCTGGTTTGCTCGAAGATGTGCTATGGTTTGCTGCTTTGCGCTCAGGTCCTCTCATCGGCGACTCCGACGCCAGGGCCTTATCGACACTCAGCTCGGGTTGTGCGGCCCACCGCGACTGCCCACAGAAAACGGGCCATCAGCAATCAAATTCAGACACGAATGCCCAAAAGCACGAATCACTTGGGCCGCAAGTTGGGATGGGTCATCAAGCCCATCATGTTTTAAGGCTATTCATGAGTTTGCCAGGAGAGGCGTGACCATGCACCATTCAAGCGTGCGATCATTTCGATTGACTGTCATAAACAATTGGTCACTATTGTCATGTTTCTTTTTCAATCAACTGTCAAATTGGTCACTACTGCTATTTTATTTCGATAAACTGTCACCAGAGAGAAGCGGTCGATCCATGGGTTCATAGCCTTGGTTTGTCCCACACTTGCTGGCAAACATTCCCATAGGTTCTTGCCACTATTTTCTTGTGGTGTGTGGTGGCCTGTTCCTTTGCCAACCGGCGCATTTGGGAAACTCGGTGTCCAGCCTGCGTCAAGCCACTTGAGGGGCAATCGACACCTCACATGAACATGGGTCTACCCAAACCAGCTAAATCTACCTTTTCCACCGGATTCCTGGCCTGGCCTTTGTTACCCTCACCCGTTGCATTCGTTTGCTGCCCGCTTCACCTGCCACGGCGACCGGAGGCCCACGCCGGGTGGCACACCCTTCTTCTCCATGCAGAGCCCGGACGCGCCAAAGCCGCCGCTCTCTCAGCAGGGCGAGGAGTTTCCTGGGGCTCCTAAAAGAGGATACTTGGGCATGTAAAACCTGACCTTTGCAGAAAAACAAAGGAGGGAAGCCACCATTTTGGGATGGTGGACAAAAGGACCCTTTTTGAAAGGGGACACCCAGACTCCAACACTTTGCTAAGAGACCTGAGAGCATCAACACAGCCCGTATTCCAAATCTGATTCCTTTAAGGGGCCCGGGCCCTTGACAGCTAGGTGATCACAAAGAAGGCACTGAATTCTTCCCTGAACTCCGGTCGCTGGGGCTCCGACCTGCGTGGCTGCCTGCTCAACTTGTTTTGGGGGCAGCAGATGCGGGGTTGGTGCGCTGATTGTTTCAGAGCAGCGTGATGCTGCTTGTCGCGGAAGTTTCTTAGGTTTCTGCTCCGGGCGCATGCCCATCATGTGAGAGTTTCATCAGTCCAGGCATCCGACAGGGTGGCACGGACCCACATCAAAGAGCTGGCGCTTCATTGCAGCCAGCCACGTTCGGTGAGACCATGGGGTGTGCGGCAATGCGTCAGCAGTGATCTTTCCTCCTGCAGGGATCCCTTGCTTCCGCCTGTGGTTGCGCGAAACATGTGTTTCCCAGCTGCCCGGCTTGGGTGGCTCAGTGGGGTGAGCAGCCAATTTCTTGATAGGAGCCAATGGCCTAGACTCGTTGTGGAGACACTGTGAATTTCCCTGGCGGTGAAACGTAGCATTCCCCGAATTTACATGTGCTTGGTCGACTTTCATACAAGAAACTGAGCATGGCACCTCTATCTAAAATCCAGTCAATGGTTGATGGTATTAGGTGCCGCACGCTCAACTTAGGTATCAGGTGCCGGACTCTCCAGCGGTGGGTGAGATGCCCATGATCAAGCCGGAGGCGATGCGCGGGCCTGTCTCCCGGGTTCCCCAGATTTCGCCTTGTGATTCTGAAAGGCAGGTTTTGGAAAGGTCAGTAACCGGAAAAGTGGGGAACCATGTGAATGAGGAGAGGGTTAAAGCGATTGAGCTCGGATTTCGTATCCGCTCCTGGTTGAAGGTCGGTAGCACGGCTTCGGAACCGCGGGCTTTCCGATGGCCCGCCAGGCTGCATGGCAGATCTGCAGATGGTACGTACCACTAAGGGGACAATTATATATATATATATATATTTATATATATATATATGTATATATATATATATATATGCAGTGAATGCATTTGTGACAGGCTTGATGTTCAAACCAATGACAACCTAAACCGTCCTTCAATTCAGGTCAGTAGCTTGCAACAGCCTCCTGGCCAATATTGGCCCCGACAGTCGCCTGGTTGCCCCCATGTCGGCTCCCAAGAGCCCGCGCATGTCCCCAGAGACCCGGCGGGTGCCTTGAATCTGCGAGCGAAGCTTCAGATTTGCTTCCCAATTTGAGCCCCTTCTTCATCTAGAATGCTTTGAAGCACTTTTTGAGCAACCCATGATTTATATCATTTAGAACCAAGATGATAGAAAGAAAGGCAACACGCTCGCGGAGTATTCACCTCAACTGAATGCTGCTTGAGGGCTCAATTTATAGCAACTGTGTGATAACTATATCAAAGTTGCCCTTCCAACGCCTACCTTAGCAATCCATATGTATAGCAAAACTGCAACCGCTTCCGTCAATGCGAATGGCTCGGTCAAGCTGAACTCGAAAAGCACAGCTCGTTGGGCCAGGACTACTCCTACTTTGCCCCGTTGCTGGCCGGCTGGCGACACAGAGCGACCCAAAATGGTCCATGTGGGAGCGGCATGGGACGAAGTCTATATTTCAACCACACCAAGGGGATCACAGAAATTCCCACGAGTACCATCTTTCCAATGCCTGAAGCTGACACAGGATTGTGGAAGGCTTGAGTCCTGCTAGAAACAGGCCTCTTGTCCACTTCCACTGTTGGAAAAAGGGTAACGGTCAATATGGGTATGAGTCAAAATTAACCCACCAGGGGACCGCAGGTTTGAGTCCTTGTTTCCATTTACCAGGGTTCCATTTTGGGATTACCCTATTTTTGACCCATAGCCATATGTTGACCGCGGCTCGTTTGTTTGTTTGGTTTGCCGGCCGAAGCTCGACCGCTCCGAGGCGACAATGATGACAACTTGTCCCCAGAGGAGGCCAAGGAGCGGAAGATCATGCGGCTCCTGCTCAAGGCGGCGTGTTTTTCCTCTTTTTTGAGGGGTGGACTTTTGGGGGGGATTTGTTTCCGGTTTTTTCCCCCTTTTTTTCTTCTCCTTTTCTCTCAGTGTTTTTTTCTTTTTTCTTTTTTCCTTTTTAAATATATCGTTATTTTCTCACCGGGAAAGGATCTTTTGTTATTTTGTTTTTGGGGCCAAGTGGATCCAAATTTGCCAAGAGAGCCAAGGGGCTACCAAGCTACCAGGAGTTCTGTAAGAGTTCCATTTGGGTATGGCTCATCTTTTAAACAGGGTTGCGCAGGGTTTTTGTCCTAAGATACTAAGGCGCCATTTTAGGTACCATTTTTCCTTTGGAGCCCACAGCAATGTGTTTAAAATCAGTTTGCCTAGACTCCCCTGATTTGAGCGTGGGGCGGACATTCCGGCCAATCCCGGTCCGCGGATTTGCTCGCTAAGTGAGAAAAGTGGATCCACAATTTGCCGAGGGAGCCAAGGAGCTGCGAGCTACCAGGAGTTCTGTAAGGGTCCGATTTTGGGTAATTATGAGTCACAATTAGTCAATACCAGGATATGGACCGCAGGTTTTTGTCCATGTTTCCAGGGTTCCATATACCAGTGTTCCAGTTTGGGGTTGCCCTGTTGTTGACCCACAGAAGTCCTTGTCTACATTTATTTGCAAAATTATGCTTTCACAAGCCTTGCTTCCGTTTTGTCAAGGGTTTGTTGGGCCGCGCTGTGCGCGAAGATCGCGAGGTGAAGAACGGCACGCCGCCCATGCGGAGGTCGGCGCTGCGGCAGCTGAGCGATGGCGTGGGCCCGAGATGAGATTTTCGGGGTGGGGGGTATCAAAAAATTGGGCGCCCCCAAATTGCCCTCAAGGGCGGTCCCCAAATAGTCTTCCCAAAGCCCTTCTGTTAGCTTCCATGATTGTTGGAGGGAGGGTAGTAGGTTTCCTTTTTGGCTTCCCTGTCCAAAGCCGCAAAAGCTTTCTCCAGCGGGGAATAGAGAGGAAGTTGACAAAGCAACGAGCACAAGAGGTTTCCAAGCAGCCAGCCATGGCATGATCTTTTTTTGGTTTCCCTTTGGTGCACCAAACAAGTGGCCAGACCGCCGAGCTGAGACCTCACCGAGGCGCGCGGGCCTTCGGGCCCGGGCCGCTGTTCAACCAGATCCTGCCGCTCCTCATGAGCCAGCGCCTGAGAACGTGGGACGCGTCACGAGCAGTACCAAGCCGCAATAAATGGCCAGGAAGTTCAAGAGTTGGAACCACCTCGGAAGTGATTGGACTTTTTAATCCCCCCTGAATTCTGATGTCCATCAAAGGGTCCCTTAGTAACAAAAAATCGCCTTCAAGCCCTACTAAGAGTAGTAGTACCCGTTGAAAACACGGCTTGGTAGAAGGGGACAATTGCCCTTTAAGGGGTATTGGCAGTATTGACCAACAGCTTGCATTTTTAGGGACCAGGAAAATCGTTTGGGGCAAAACCTTAGTGAAGGATGGGAGGGGTGGAACAACTGGGAAAGGTTCCTGAAACTTGGGGAGCCCGGACTCTGGGGCGAGTCACAAGTTGCGAGGTGGACATCGGATACCCCAGCCCAATTCGGGCAGGTGATTTTCCTTTTTGAGATCAAAGGACAGGGGGATGGTGGCCATCAGCCATCCTATGGCAATGCCCTGGTTTGACTCATGCACCGTGCTACCATGCAACTGGGGCCCAATGAAGTCCGCTCGGTCTGTCGGAGGCAGCACCTTGGAAGACCAGGAGAGGCATTTGCTGGTCAAGGCCATCGAACTCGGGGCTGCCTGAAGGGATCATGGTGGTGGCTGAAGCCTTTTGACCATTGGGGAGCGCCTAGTCTCTTCTGTGCAAGCCTTGCACTTTAGCCATTTGCGCAATCCAAAGGCTTGAGTGTGTGTTTTCACACAGCGTCTTTTTGGGTCAGTTGGTTGAAAATAGATGGCACTGGGTTCAGTCTGGTTCTAATGTAGCAGTGCATCTGTATTTCCAAAAGGACAACTAAGTATTTTCAGCCAGACGTTCCTGAGGGCCCGGAAACCTCCAATACTCAAATACCTTCACATAAACCTTATCGAGGCCAGTGCTAGGTTTAGGCAGAAGTACCACACCAAGCAGACGAATCTTCATGAATGACCCCGTGGAAGAATCTCGCTTCATTCGGGAGGGCAGGCAGTGACAGCTCGACTGCTCGACCCTGCAGCTGGCTCTGAAACCGGGTCGATCACGGTCGCAGCCCAGAACAGAGTCAGGCGCATGGATCCTGAGGCTATTCGTGGTTGCTTGCCGCTGCAGCGGTGCGGACAAGAGGAAGAGGTGACCTTGGATGGACAAGAAACTGGGCGGACAAATTGGGGAGAGGGGCTGGCTGTGGAAGCATTGCAGAATAAGGCATCAAACGCTGTCAAATCATGAAAGGGCAACCACAAAGGGCAACCACAAGATCCAACGGACATGAAGCTGCAAACAACGAGTACCAGTTTTCTCAGTGTGGTCCGCATTCCCAGCACATATGATCGCATGCTGTTATCCTGCGTAAGGTAGCTTCCAATTGCTCCGACTGGTTCCCTTGATCTTCAAGTAAGGAGCAGCCGCCGATTAGCTGGCAGGGGCCGTGCCCGCAGCCGCAGTCTGGCGCATTCCAACAGGTGCCGGGCGAACTCAAAGCTTTACATGGTGATCAAAGTCGATTGTTGGACCCTTTCCCTTCTTACTACTGTGGATGGGCAGTTTTGCCGCACCAGTTGATAGGTGGTTTGTCCCATTGTTCATAAGTATGGTCTCATCCATCTCAGATGGTGCAGGCTGTCCATCCACAGTAGCAACCACGGCCTGACTTTGACAACGGAGTAATGAAGTATCCTGAGGTGCTTTTTGGTATGCTGGTGCCTGTTGTGAATGTCGTCCCGCTTGTGGCTGTGACGGACTTGACCGCTGTGCCTGTGGTGAAAGTTGTCACGAATGTCCCGCACCCGTGCATGGCGGCCGAAGCAAGTGACAGTGAGGCAACCTGGATGTGGGTGTGTTTCGATGCGGCAGCCAAGATGGAGATCTTGGAGACAAACGGCCACATGTTCCTATACTACCAGACAGGAGAGGTGAACAAGACGCTTGCCTGGGCAAGCGTGAAGCCCACCAAACGCGATTCCAACAGTGATTGCCTTTGGTGTGGCAGGCAGGCTTGCTCCCATGGGACGCGTTGTTCGCGGAAGAACTTTGCCTCTAAGTACTGCCACTGGAAAAGTACTAGCCAGTGCTGCGTAAATTCACTCGACTGGAAAAAGATCAAGTCGGCATTTTGCCAGACGGCGTGAGCTGCGGCTGGGGACCCCTAGCCGAGCTCGTTTTGACATGTCGGGTGCGCTGCATGACCTATTTATTTTAGAAATCCTGCCGGACGCAGACAGCTTACTTTAGCCAGGGCAGGACGTATAAGGACTGGCCAGTCTTCCCTTCTTGGCCGGCTTTGCCATTTCAGGTCTTGCCTCGCAGAGTACCCGTGTAAATATTATGCTTGAGCCCTTGTCAAATGACGCGTTTGCTTGCCAGCTGCCATTGCCCCATTTCACAGCTTCGAGTGTCCATCATATGACTTTGACAGAGGCTCTTAATGAAGTGCTTGCAGCGGAGTTGAAAAAGTGACTCAGCAAGGTACCGATCTCTTTTTCTAGGATGCCAGTACCGCCCCCCCTTGTTGAACATGGTGCTGTACGCTTCAAAAAGGCCTCGGATAATTTGAGCGCCTTCACCGGAGGGTTTATGGCAGGGTTTGACCAGGGTCAGCCATGAACGGGGTTGGACATATGAAAGGGTTGGATGGCAGCATGTTTGAAGGGCGCATTCAAGTTGTGGACGTCATGCCTTCGCCAGGTCATTGACCGCGTCTTGTACAAATTGGACGACATGGCTGCAGCCCCAGTTCCAAAACGCAGTGTACCCTTTTGAGGATTCCCCCCCCCCAAATTTGGCGACACCCAGTTCGTTCAGCCAGGTGCGTCCGTATGTGCACAAGATCTTGGTGGTCATTGAGCCCCTTCTCATCGATGAGGATTACTTTGCCCGCGTGGAAGGGCCCCTTGGCGCCAGATGGCCGGGGATCGAGGCCTAGGGGGAAGCAAGGCTGATGTTTCTAGAGGTTCTTTCAGGGCACGGTTTCGCCGGTTTCGGAGTTGTCTTGAGCTGTTGGAAGAATGACACTGGGAGATATCTGTAAGCTGGCAGCCTGGCTTAGATAGGGCGCTTCCAGACTTTAGAGTGATTCGAGTTAGCAGCAGACTCTTGACCCCCAGTCTTGCAATCCACACCTCCCACAAACCCGACAGGCCTCAAGCAACGTTTTCTGGAGCATGTGCCCGAGATCCTACGGGCCTGGCAGACACAAGAAACAAAACCAATCAATGCCGAACGGAAAAGGGAGGACAGGGCTGGGTGGCTTGTCATCGGCTGCCAAACGAAGGGTGGATTGATTGCATTGGCCTCTTGGGGTGGCCTCTAGCTGGGGTTTCCAACCCAAAGAATTATTTGGTTGGGTTCCTGTGGTTCCCCCTCGGACCGTCCAAGCTTCGACCGACTTGTGCCGATATTCCTGAAATCGCAGCAATGCGTCGCAGGCGTGAGATCATCAGCAACTTGGCCAAGGCGGCAGGCTGGAGATTGGGTGGGGGTCAAAACCAATGGGATCCCATTTTTGGGGTTTTCGTTGCACCACCCATGAAAAAAAACACATTTTAGCGGGAATTGGGATGTTTACCGGGGTTCCAGTACGGGATTTTGACCTGCCAGATCGAATGATATGAATGCCATGATGAGTTGCGCATGATAGGAATGCCCACGGGGGATCGATCGCTTTCCAGGGCTTGCAGTTTGGTGTGGCAAACGCATCCCTGGTCTGGTGCTTGGTGAATCACTTCCCTGGTGTTGGCTGAACTTCGAGGTCCCGAAAGGATGGGGATTTCCAATGATTTGCAACTTGTTCCCTTAAACCCCTTCAGAAGGCGGGGCGCAAGTTGGGCTGAAACACCCCCCCAGATTTGTGCCCCAGATCTTGCAAATTGTTAATGTTTCAGGGAGTTCGCCCATTGCAAAACAGTGGCGGCAGCAAAGCCTGCGCAGGCCTTGCCACCATGATCTCCACGATGCGACCAGATATCGACCACGCGGATGAGTGACCCGGGACCCGTGGTCGAACATCGGGAACCCGGCGGTCGGACATGCCTTTGGTGAAGTCCACCCAAGCCATCCAGCTTCTGAAAAAGGCCTTGCAAGATGTATGATCAACACGAGTCCTTATGTTACTCTGAGCAATAAATGCAAGCAGTAAAGCAACATGAGGGGTGTTAATTATATAAGGGGTAGCACTACTTTAGTATTGGGCCGGTTCTTTCTCAAGACAACATGCGCAACCCCCTGCAAAACGATAAGGAGTAAAAGAACGAAGACATGAGTGCTGCACCCTGGTTTGCCACACTTGCAGATACAAGTTGCAACTTTTCAAGCCGGAGCTGCTAAGAAGTGAACTTTGCATACTACACTTGTAGTTCAAAATTGCTTTCGAGTCTGAGTTGCCAAAGAATACTTTGGGCGCTACACCTGTACTTACAAAGTTTTGACTTGCGAGCCGGAGCTGCCAAAGTGTACTTTGCGTGCTACACTGGTACGATAAAAAATGCAACTTTCGAGCCCCGAAAGCGAAACCACTGCAGTACGATGAAGAGCAAAACGATAACCCCGAAACGGGTCGAACAGTTTTGCACCCCTTTTTATACGGAACAGGTCATCCTGAGTGTGCAAAGCTTTATTATTATTATTATTATTATTATTATTATTATTATTATTATTAAAACATGTTTATGGTCTGTGTTCAGGAAACGCCCGACAGCAAAAACAAGAACACGGAAAACCACACAAACACCCCCCCCCCCCAAGAAGAAACAGCAAAAACAAGACTCTGTCACGTGTCGTGACTTAGGAGCGTAGTCTCTTTTCTTTTTTTTTGGGTTTTTTAGTTTGCAGAGCAACAAACCAAAAAGGCAGTGCTAATTATGTCACCCGTTCTGACTTGGGGGCATAGTGTTGGTTTAGCTCGCTACAAACTCTGTGCTTTGCGGTGTTGTCTGACCTTTGTAGTGCCGGGTGCTAGTAAAAGACATGATATTGGGACGTCTGAATGAAGTCCTTATGAATTCTACCCAATATCTTTAACAATCCCCACTCAGTTTCTAATTGACATTGAATAGATGTTTAGACGGAATTCAATCATGAATTATGTTTTAGACTAGGATTTACATAGATATGCTATTATGTTAAAACTTATACAGGAACTCCTTTTCAACAGGACCTTTCCCTGCAAACCAAGTCAGCTAACATTTCAATACTTTTGGGACCTCTGAATTCTCTTCTTATGAACTCTACTTAATATGTTTATCAAATTCTACTAAAAGTGTAACTGACATTGAACAGAAGTTAATAAGGATGTGATCCTTCAAACAGAAGTGTGCGTTGCCTTCATCTACACGTCAGTTTTGATCTAGATGCATGAATGATTTGTTCACAGCGTCCCGCTCTCTTTTTATACAGCCCGCCGAGTCTTCAGCTTTTCCAAAGCGCCTGCCTAGTTTGATTTGGCTGGTTCACTGGTCCGCTCACATTGCAAACGAGGATCAGACGCATGTCCTGCTATTTTTGCCAGGGATGTGTCAAGACTAGAAACACTTCTTGGGGCAATTTGCGATTAGGAAGCCAGCAGGACATGTTCCACTCGCGGTAACCAATTCTGACACATCGCCAAGTGACGCAAGTTGCAACCACGGCCGGAGGCACTTCTCTGCCTCCAACAGAGATGCGAGCAATACTCGTAGACTTGTAAAGCTGGTTCTTGAAACTGGTTGAAGACACTGGGTGGGGCCTTGCCCACTCTGACTTCTCTTGCAAAGGTTTGGCTCTTGACATGATTGGACACCCCATGGCTTCCACTCTTGTGGTTTCAGGTTCTCCGAAATTGGCACCTTCCTTTTCGAGTCCTTAGCACCATCCAAAAGGTCATTTTTGGGACGTACTATCCCACGTGGCGTTGCGATCTTGAGACTTTCGGCCCCTTTGGTTTCCCAGAAGGGAATTGGTTGAACGTACTATTTCTTGTGGGTGTTTTTCCGGGCAGCCGTTTCATCACCATGATATCAGGTTCTCCCTATTTAGACACAAAACTACTATATTATATCTATATATATATATATATATATTTGCATAAGGGATTCCAAAATGAGTGAGTTTTTCACTCGGTTGACCTTGAAGACAGCCAATCCTTGAAAAAGAACTCCCCCCCTCCATTTTAGTCAGTTGACGTATATGCGATGGTACCCCAATCAAAGAATCATACCAACAAGGTATGTCTTTTGATTGGGGGCTCTGGGACAAGCCCGTTTTGCAATGTGGAACCTCCCCCTGCGAAGATATCGCCAACTTTTTGCAGAAGGTCGTTTGGCTCAGAGTAGTGGTTTTTGTTTGGTGCTTCCCCCTTTAAAGATGGTTAACTCCATAAAGGGTACGTTCGGGTCACTGGGCAGACAACTTGGAATTGAGACTACTCCCCTACAACTAAGCATGGAGCCCAAAACGGCCGTCCCTCAAAAACGAGATTCCTCTAAACTCTAAGCATGATCTATTAGTTGACTTCTGGTTGATGCCCCGAATTCGCCGCGAAGCGCGAGGGGCGCTGCGCTTTGCGCCCCAGGTACGTGCGGAACACCACGGCGCGGGCCTTCGCGGTGGTGGCCTCCGCTCTGGGCATCCCCTCGCTGCTGCTCTTCCTCCGAGCGGCCGGGGGGTTCCCAGGGGTCCCAGATTCGGGGTGCCAGGGGTGGGGTCGGGTCGGGGGGGGGGGTTGGTGTGTGGTGTTGGGGGGGGAGAGTTGTGGGACTGGTGTTGGGTGTTTCTGCGGCTGGGGGTGTTGTTGGACTGCCGCATGGAGAGATCTGGGTGTGACCATTTTCATGGCGAGCACCCTCAAAGATGGTAGGTCGGGCATGAATCCCAATGCAACAAAGGGTCCGAAGTGAAGCTCCTAGCCATCTTTGCGCGGACTATCAGTTGACCGGTTTTAAGTTTTCAATCCCAGGGTTGAAGGACCAGGGGCCGAGAGGTCTCGGTTGCTGTTGCTCACTTCACGCTGCTGCCAGGTCTGCCAGTCGAAGAAGAGCTGGCAGGCCAGGCACACGGGCATCAAGATCGCCGGCGGCTTAGCGGTGAGCTGAAGAAATCCTTCGCTCCAATGGCGGGCCTTCGGCTGAAACATTGCGGTGCCTTGCAGACTGGTCCCACATGGCTGTGGGTCAAAGCCAATCGGATCCCATTTTGGGGTAGATGCACCACCCATTTTAGTCAATTTTAGTGGGGATTGGGATGTTCACTGGGGGTACGGGATTTTGACCCATGGCGACATCAGGTCCCTTACCCAACCTTTCAAGACAATTGGCCTGTTGCCTACGCCCAATCTGTGTGCTCTGCGAGCTGGCTTGGCAACTTGACACGGGGTTTTTGCTGGCGTGTGGGCCGGTTGTGAGGTGCAGCAGATTGCCATCCTGGTTGTGCTGCGCTCGGATTTCGTCTCACTTGGGTGCTAGGCAGATGCCGAATCGATGGTTTCAACTTGATTTTGTAGAGCAGTTGCTTTATGCCTTGCTAGCCATCCTTGTTGTTTGTGAAACACGTGTCATCTTTGATTGCTGTTTTCGACGGAAGGCGTTCCTAGCCTGGCCAACCACGTTCTGTGTTTTTGTCAAACAGGCCTTCCACCTGTTTCTCAAAATGGTGCACCCCTCTTTTGGTTGGTATTTGGCTGTGGGTCGAAACCAATGGTACCATGTTGGAGTGGGTTTACCTCCCATTTGAGTCTATTTTAGTGGGGATTGGGATATTCACTGGGGGTACGGGATTTTGACCCATGGCCATTTCACTCAATTCATGTGGCCGAGGGCTGCGGCGTCCTGCCGCACCTTAAGCAGATGGTGGACATCATCGCCCATGGTCTCCAGGATGGGGCGACTCTGCCTGGATGTGTCCTGGAAAGATGCCGGGGGTAGCACGTTGTCCAGAAAACTTATGGGTTGGAAGCGTTGGAGCCAAAAGAGACCTGTTCATGTGTACCCTGTAAAACCAAAGCCGAGAGATTGGGACACGGAGCACACTGCCCGGAAATCCGAAGAGTTCCCGCAGGATGAGCAGCAGAAGGTGCGAACCATCACCGCCTTGGCTCTGGCGGCACTGGCTGAGGCTGGAAAGAGTAAACCTTTTTTTTTTTTTAGCCGAAGGGATGTGAGGATTGGGCGTTGGGCGCTCTCCGATTCGCGTCGTCTGGGCTTGCTTTTGAAGTAAGCCAAAGCGGGTGGTGTGTGTGTGTGTACGTTTCGTCCTTTGGGCATTCTTGTGCAACAAAGACAAAAAGGCGGGGTTGTTTCACTTTGCCATGCTCCTGACGCATGGCAAACCGCAAACGTAGTGGCCATGCTCAATTCATCGGTGAAACACAACACATGCACATGGCTAACAGCGACGGCCATCAAGCTTCAATTAGACTGATTTGAGACATTTGTGTGAGGATGTGTTTTTCCGGAGGCAACATGTGGCCACTGCGTGCCGCGAGCGCAAGTACTGGGCTGCTCTTTTTCGCCGAGTGGACAATGCGGGTGAACTGCTTGCTTCCACGGAAACCGTTTTGAACATCCAGAGGATTTGGAAAGAGGCCATTGCCCACTTGATGTGTAGATTCCGCGATCCTGCGCGCTGGCTGCTGAATGATACCTTCGCCTGGTGTTTACAAATTAATGATGATGAGCTGGTATTCTTCAAATATGAACCATTTTATCATTGTGAAATCTATCCATCCCACTTTGATCCTGGCCAAAGTGAGCTGCACTCAGATGCATGCGTCATTGCGCGAAAGCCCCCTGTGCCTGCAGCCGGTCAGGTGATCTGGATACTACACAGCAGACCAAAAAAACAGCCTTGTTAGACCCACTTCGCCATGCCTATTTAATGTTGACCCCCATATTATTAACCCCCTGTCTATTAGCACGGGGGGGTGTTTTTGGCCCAGGCCGTGCCGCTCGTCTCCTCGGCCCGCCGGTCGCTTCGCGAGGCGGCGATGCCCTATGGCATCGAGGCCTTCGATACCGTGCTGCGGCCGCTCTGGAAGGGCCCGAAGCCCCCAGCGGAGCAGTGGGGAGGGCCGCCGACAGGCGAGATGGACGCCGCATGTCCCCTCTATAAAAAAAAGAGGCAAAAACAAGCAACATGACTCATTTTGTTTTGTTAAGCATTTCCTAAGTATTGTGTTTCCTCAGAACTCACCGACTTCAGGAAGGACACATGTTGTATTTTTCCGGCTCTAAACCATGGTCACTCACCGGCCATATAATTCAACGAGCAGTCGTTTTGTTTGATGGTTGATCTATAGGTCGACGCTGTTGGCGTTGTCACATCAACTTCCCCGGGTGTACGCTAAGAAGTCATAGCCTTTGCCAAAGTCTGGTCATTTGCAGAAGTGTTTACGCAATCTGTGGTGGTTTGGTCGCCACACATATCTACTCGTCACAAACACCAATCACGCACTAGACTATGGAGAGATGTCATTATCATAGTGAACGTCAAATGGTCCATGTCTTTCGGGATGCACAAAGCCAGGTTTGGCTGGAGAACACCGTGGCCCCTCCAAAATGGTGGCTTTCCTTTTCCAACAAGATTCGGGTCTTGTTGCCTCAACGGCCTTCATGGGCATTTTACCGCACGAGCAACGGAGCCAGCCAGTTTGGGAGCAAGCACAGCCTGTCATGAAGCGGGCTTAGCCATACGCAAAGGAGAACTCCGAGTCCCGCTGAAGAGCAAGTGGGCATGTGAGGCGACTTTTCCCTTTTGCCTCCGCTGTTGGGGCTCAGCACCCCGGCTGAAGCGGCCCAAGGCATCTGCGAGCACCGCGGCAAGGGCCTGGCCGCTTTCCTCAAGGCGTCCGAGAGACGTCAAAAACCGGGGGACGGGAGGACTCCTGCGGTTTGCTCTGAGACCAGGTTTTTTTAAGGACGAGTTCTAGGTCCCCCAGTAGTGCCCTTTTACCCTTTCTTTTTTGGGGGAGGTCCTCTACTAAAAGAGACTACAGAAAAAAGGGTGCCCTTATTCTACCCTCTCCACTGGAGGACCTAGAGTTCCTAGCACCCGCGTGGAGGGATGTGGCAATTTGATAATTTCTGCGAAACGGGGAAATGCCAGGTTTCGCCTTCCTGGTTCACTCTTGGCTTACATGACAAGGGCTTGAAGTATCGGTTGAAAGCAGGTGGCTTGAAGTTTTCGCGTTGCCAGCGGTAACATCTTGAAGCTGTTGGCCGGCTATCAGAATCTGAACACTTTCCTCATGCGTCTTTCAGAAAATGCCTGGGGGGGATAGGGGAGGCGAAAGTTGGGAACACCCACTCTTGAGCCTTGCTTTGCCATGGTGATCGTTTTTGTTTACCTGTGGGTTTACATGGGTGTATGTTTTCTGTGAAGGTCTCCTTTCCGGGATAGGCTTAAGGAACAAGCAGAGGGAACCAGTTCGTTTTGGGGCTGCCATGATGGAACTCTTGTTTCCTCTTCGTGCAGCCTGTCGACTTCACGGTGCATTGGCCCAAACTGCACGTCAAGTCACACGGAACTCTAACTCACCAAGTTGCCACATCTACAGACTAAAAGCACCATCGTGAAGTATTAGTCACGTGCACAAACGGGCACAATGAGGATTGACCATTGACCGTGGCTAAATATGGAATGATAGCCGTTTGCAAGTGTCCAAATCACGGCGAATTTAGCACGCCCCAGATCTTCCGAGTTTGCCTTTCGACCTAGGAAGCGAAAGGAAAGCCCCCGAGGAGGCTTTCTACTGGGTCTTTTTGTTTCCCAAAAGCAGTCGGACCAAAAACTTGCTGGTGCTCAGTAGGGAATGAGGGAATGAAGGGATTCCCTTAAAGGAAGCCATAAGGGATGGTTTTCTCGGTTCCCTGCTGAGCACCAGGAAAACGCCCGACGTGGCTCATGCTCAAGGAGGGCTTAGGATTTGGCTGCGAACAGGCGATCGGCTTCATCATTCCGCTGATGGATGCTGAGCATGCGAACTACTACACCCGGGAGGCCGGGCATCGGTCACGTTGCTCGGAGTGGGGGGGGGGCGCAGATACGAGTCAAGCATGTTCCTCGATAATATATGACTTTCTTATCGCTTCTCGGTAGTTTGTGGGCGGGGCAACTACATGCAACAATTCGCCGACGTGAAGCTCGTTGGGTTTTTGTGGGGGGAGAACAAGGCAGGACTGCCAGTCACCCATCGCACGCGGTGCGCGTCCGTCCCGCGGTCCTTCCCCGCCCACATTTTTTGACTCAGGTCATGATCATCCTGATCCGAGAGTTCTCCACCCCAGACGAGGAGATGAAGAAGATCGTGCTGAAGGCGCAACTGCCATTTCTGGGGCCGGCGACTGGCGGCTGGGCAGGGTCGTTGCGTGTATTGCCAAATGTCCCTGGTTGCATTGAATTCTGCTTTGTTGGCTTTGTTGTTGTCCGCACCTCTGTTTTATTTGTGCATAACCGTGGCCATCCAAGCCCAACGCTCCTGGGTTCGCGGGGGGAAGAGCGCGTTTCAGCCCTCCTGTATGATTGGACTGTGGCAAGGGGATTGCACTTGGATCTGCCCACGTGGCAGCTTACTTGCAATCTGGAACAAACTTATGCGAAGTAGAAGGCGCGCGACTGTACATTTCAGTGTTTTGAAGCGGTTAGAAGCCTTGCATCGAAACCTTAACCCCGCCAAATGGTTGGGTTCATGTCCAACCATGTTGGAGGCCAACCATTTTTAGTTCAAAAACATGTACGTGCCTGCTTCGGCAACCACTTTTTGAAGGTCTGACACAGGGTTTGTGTTCAGAACAGCGGGTGCGGTCCAGTCTGAGCATATGCAAGTGGGCAGCAACCACTTTCCACGAATCCATCATGCTCGTAAGCAAGCGAGCAACTCTGAGCACAACCAGTTGTACAGCTAGGCAAATTTTCTAGGCCATCTTTGGACCACGTTTGTTTGGAAGTTGATTCAGGAGACACCTCCAGGAATCCCCAAGAAACTTCCCAGGAGATTTCATGCACAGCTTGATATAATTATGTTCATCTTTGGGGAGGTCCTCAGAACCTTTCCTGTCAGAACCCTTCGGTAGAGTTCCAAGACTTCCGGAGAGCTTGGCTGAGCGAAAGCGAAAGCAGTGGGCCGTGAGGTGGTGAAGCAGTGCGTGGCCACGGAGGGTGTGGAGCCCAGCTACATCCGAGAGGCGGGGTCCGCTGCGACTGGGGGTGTTCTTGCTGGTGCGATAGGTAGGGAATGAGAAATGGAATGAACCCAGGGGTTCCCTTAAAGGAAACCAACTTGGATGGTTTATAAGTGGTTATTCCCTCATTCCCTGCTGAGCACCAGCAAGCTTTGCAGACTTGAACAACTCAGTTTTGGGGTTCCCCCAGTTTCGGAGCAATGGTACGGACAAGGACAGTCCCAAGTTGGGACAGAGCTATGAGGAGTGACTGTGAGTTCGACCAGCGCGAAGTCGGCAGGACATCTTGCCGCCGTTCTTCAGGAACTTCTGGGTGGTCGGTGCCTCAAGCACCCGAGAAGCGGCGTGCCAGGGAGCCTTAGGCTCGGGACCTTAGGGGGGCAACCCCGTACGATTTGCTCAGTTGTACCATCCCAACTCTTAGAGAAGATTTCTGATTGGAGCCAGTCCCCCTCCCCCCCCCCCCCGCCATAGCATATTTGCTCAGTTGCACCCCAACTCTTGGAAGAATCCATGATGGGAACCAGTTCCATACTGTAGCATGACTCTCCGCTCGCTCCTGGGCCTTTCGGCTCAAAACTTGGGCGCGTCAGCTGCAAAAAAGGCCCGGCGCTCGGGCTCGGGTTTGGTCGTGAGAGACTGGCGGTGCAAATCAAAGCTTGGCCCTCATTTTTGTTTGGAGCGAGAGAGGCACCCCCAACAAAATTGCGGCTTCCGTTTGAACTCCTTTCGAAACCACCCCCAAACCGCAGAGACAGAGTCGTCCAAGACATGTATATCTCCAAGAAGTAATCCTGCGCTTTTGGGGGAACATTGAGAGGGTAGATCAGGAGCCTATGGAGCCGTCCGAGAACCTCGACATGTTTTCATTTCGGAGTTTCTTCCAATTAGACGGACTTCCGGGGCCCGTCTCCTTTGGGAGTTGAGTCCCAAGGATAGACTCGTGATTCAGCCGGGTTTCCGCTTGACACATGGGCTGAGACTTTTCCTGGAGTACTCACGGCGGGGCGACCCTGTCTCTCAGGATGGATACTTGTATCATGCTCCCATGTCATGCCCGCCTCATTGAAGTGAGCACTTGGGGAGGTTCTCGGCAAGCCATGTTGAAGGCCGTCATTCAAATAACATGGAAGTGCACAGACCCCTGTAGAAAGATTACTTTCCTCTTGGAAAAGGCCTTTTTGCACTTCCGTGTTAGTTGGTGGGAGGGTACCTGTCCAGGGTGTCACGTTGCAGGGCCCAAGTGTACCGTCAGCCCTTTGCTTCTCTCCAGAGGCCAGCGGCGGCGATGCCGCGAGTGGCAGTGGCTTGGCAGACGTGGCAGCTCTTTGCCATTCGCAGCGGCGATGGTTGGGCAGCGGAAGAACATGGATATCCTATCCAAAACTCGGTGTTCCATTGATTTTGCAAGGGGAAGGTCGGGGGCGGGGGGGAGGCTTTAAGAGATCCCCTCGTGTCCCCTTCTTTCTGGGTTTCCCACTAAAACTGGTCATCCCCCAAAGGGGCTTGCTTTTTGACCATGGCCATGGGGCAGGTGGGAATTGGTAGAAAACATATATGCAGAAGTTGGGATGTGTGCAGCTTGCCGCAGGGTTGTGATCGTCCAGAATTCACGTCCATTAATAAAAGAACAACGTGGGCATTGACATGTAGGTTGTTAAGCTAAGGTGACGACTTAGTTGTAGCTGCAGATTTCATAGCTGCCGCTTTCACATACCTGGCCGTGTACTTGTGCGGTTGCTTCCTGATTCAAGTCTTATTCAATCTATTCGTCCATACCTGTCGGAGTTGCTTGGTAGTGGCACATATTTCTTATTCTCTCACAAAGGATCCCGGCTGAGTGGGCAAGAGCGAGGGCAGTGAGTCACAGGAGCTCAAAACCGCTCCACTCAAGACAAGCGGACACCTTGTCAGAGTGAGGGCGGGGATGTTGAACTTATAGCAAGCAAGCTGTCGCCGAGCTTGTTTTTGCACTGAGTTGTATCACCATGGTCAGGTCCCCACACTTCCTTGACAAGGCTTTTTTGCATCACCTGGGCCGCATGTAAGTGGGTTGCGTCCCTAGATGTCCCGTTTGGGAATTGGCTATAGGTACCGGGTACCCCATGATACCGAGTCACTTTGGCCTCAGGCTGCTGGACCACCGCGCCTTGCGCGACTGGGCGTCGCTTGGGCCGCACACCCTGAACTTCCCCAGACCAACGCAAACCCAACCGCAAACCCAACTGAGCTCGACGGATACCTCAACCGATTTTAAGGCCTGAAGGCAACCCTGAAACCTCCCTGAACCACTATATAACCCAAAAGCGAGGAATGCAAACTCCCGAAATTAATAGCCAGTCATCGGAATCGAACATCACTTGACTCTCTAGGGGGGAGGGGATTGCAGCACTACAAGCGCAGGGTGGGAAGAGCATGTCAGCTTTTGGCCCCCCACTTTCAATTGCAGTTTTGACCCTTCAAACAGGACTGGAGGGTCCCACAAATCAAGATCTCAGACCAAGAGATGAAAGTTGGAGAAGAGCCTAAGCATGCAGGGGGCCAGGGTATGGAGTGTCAATCCCGTCAGCAACACCTGTCAGCCAGAGGCTTGATTATTTTTGAGAGGGTTCCTTGCATGAGGAGCAACTATTGCTACGCGCCCAAGACTGGATGCGGCGGGTGTCAAGTTTGTTTACGCGATCTGCTCCTCAACACAGCGACTTTTGTCTTCCATTTCATTCGCTTCCTTGAATCACAACCTGTTGGAGCATATATATCTTCTACGCGAAGCAAAACTGTCAAAGTGCGTTCGCCATGCTCGTGAGGCACCACGCACGGTGGCAACATTGCCAAAACAAGGGTGTTGATGCCTCGCAGATGGCAGAGCTGGCATATGCAATCACAAGCTGCGGCCTTTTGGATCCGAACCCTTGCTCTGGCCCAGGTTTGTTTGCTGCGGCTTGGCTGCAGCTTAAGGCTCACACCGGCTACTCGTACGGTGGTACCAGACTGGCATTACTAGTATTTAGTTCTGCGGATTAGCATCGCTTTCTCAGTGTGCTCCCACCTGCCTTGCCACCTGCGTGACATGCTGACTCCTTTGGTCGCAAGTTGGTCCGAGCGTTCGCCGGGCCAACTTGAAGTGCAAGGCACTGGCAAGAAGGAATTGCTACAGCTGGGCAGGGTAGAGGCAGCGGCAAAGTTGAATGCGAGATCCATGTCAATGAGAGCAACGAACGCAGATAGGAAAATGCAAAAGCATATTTAGGAAAGCAACCAATGCGAGATCCATTTCAACCGGAGAAAAACACGTATAGGAAGTCAACCGGCCCAATGGGATGGCAGGCGTGGGCCCAGAGTTGTTCGCTCCCGAGCGGCTCAGCTGAGGCTCGGAAGCCTTTGCAGGCCCGCGGCTTCGGAGTCCTGTGCTTGCGAGAAGATGCAGCGAAGGAGAAATGGAAGAGAACCCGAAATGACAAGCACAAGCACACGCACAAGCACACGCACAAGCACAAGCACAAACACAAGCACAAGCACAAGCACAAGCAAACACAAGCACAAGCACAAGCACAAGCACAAGCACACGCACAAGCACAAGCACAAACACAAGCACAAGCACAAGCGCAAGCCCAAGCACAAGCACAAGCCCAAGCACAAGCACAAGCACACATACACAAGCACAAGCACAAGCACAAGCACACTCACAAGCACACGCACAAGCACAAGCACAAGCACAAGCACAAGCACAAGCACAAGCAAACACAAGCACAAGCACAAGCACAAGCACAAGCACACGCACAAGCACAAGCACAAACACAAGCACAAGCACAAGCGCAAGCCCAAGCACAAGCACAAGCCCAAGCACAAGCACAAGCACAAACACAAGCACAAGCACAAGCACAAGCAAACACAAGCACAAGCACAAGCACAAGCACAAGCACAAGCACAAACACAAGCACAAGCACAAGCGCAAGCACAAGCACAAGCACAAGCACAAGCAACAAGCACACGCACAACACAGCACAAGCACAAACACAACAAGCACAAGCACAAGCACACAAGCACAAGCACACGCACAAGCACAAGCACAAACACAAGCACAAGCACAAGCGCAAGCCCAAGCACATACACAAGCACAAGCACAAGTACAAGCACAAGCACACGCACAAGCACACGCACAAGCACACGCACAAGCACACGCACAAGCACAAGCACAAACACAAGCACAAGCACAAGCACAAGCAAACACAAGCACAAGCACAAGCACACGCACAAGCACAAGCACAAACACAAGCACAAGCACAAGCGCAAGCCCAAGCACAAGCACAAGCACAAGCACACATACACAAGCACAAGCACACGCACAAGCACACGCACAAGCACAAGCACAAGCACAAACACAAGCACAAGCACAAGCACAAGCAAACACAAGCACAAGCACAAGCACAAGCACACGCACAAGCACAAGCGCAAACACAAGCACAAGCACAAGCGCAAGCCTAAGCACATACACAAGCACAAGCACAAGTACAAGCACAAGCACACGCACAAGCACACGCACAAGCACAAGCACAAACACAAGCACAGGCGCAAGCCCAAGCACAAGCACAAGCACAAACACAAGAACAAGCACAAGCAAACACAAGCACAAGCACAAGCACAAGCACACGCACAAGCACAAGCACAAACACAAGCACAAGCACAAGCGCAAGCCCAAGCACATACACAAGCACAAGCGCAAGCACAAGCACAAGCACACGCACAAGCACACGCACAAGCACAAGCACAAACACAAGCACAAGCGCAAGCCCAAGCACAAGCCCAAGCACAAGCACAAGCACAAGCACACATACACAAGCACAAGCACAAGCAAACACAAGCACAAGCACAAGCACAAGCACACGCACAAGCACACGCACAAGCACAAGCACAAACACAAGCACAAGCACAAGCGCAAGCCCAAGCACAAGCACAAGCACAAGCACACATACACAAGCACAAGCACACGCACAAGCACACGCACAAGCACAAGCACAAACACAAGCACAAGCACAAGCACAAGCAAACACAAGCACAAGCACAAGCACAAGCACACGCAGAAGCACAAGCGCAAACACAAGCACAAGCACAAGCGCAAGCCCAAGCACATACACAAGCACAAGCACAAGTACAAGCACAAGCACACGCACAAGCACACGCACAAGCACAAGCACAAACACAAGCACAAGCGCAAGCCCAAGCACAAGCACAAGCACAAACACAAGAACAAGCACAAGCAAACACAAGCACAAGCACAAGCACAAGCACACGCACAAGCACAAGCACAAGCACAAA